GGCGTAATGACAGGAGTACAATCCCACGGCCAGTTGACGGTATAACCTTATCCTAAGTCGTTTGACATATGAAAGGGGTACGAATTCTAGTCGGATATAAAATAGTCTCCTAATAATATATAAATTAAAATATCGAAACAAATGTGCAAAATTTAAAGTACGCATTCCCAAGCACTTAGGAGTCACAAACGAGGGATGAAGCTGTTCGGTTATGCAACCCGCGCGGCTGTGTATTGCGGGTTGCTTACAATTCACAGGCGCTACAAAACGTGCCCCACATGCGAAATTTCAGAGTCGAAGACGACACAACGCATATTATTGAAGTTACAGAATGAAAATCATAGATATTATTAGTGATGTATTTATCCTATATAAACATTGAAACAACTTGTTTAGGAGAATATTCTCCCCTTGGTTGGGAAGGTATTCAGACCGGAATGATCCTCCAAAGACGTGTGCTTCTCAAGGTGCTGTCATTTAACTAATGGTTAGTGGATTATAATAGTACTTCTATCAATAAACAAACTGTGTATTAATGAGTTCATTCTTTTGCCATTTATCCTAATTGAAAGAAGAAGGCGCTAGCGATACAAATCATGCCATTAGCGGTGTAAGTGTTAATGTCATATACCAAAACATACGTCGAGTATGTAGCTTGCCACTTACTGAGATCAAAAACATTCGCCTCATGGGAATTATTTCCTTTCGTGACCGATAAACATGGAGAAATCGTATCAATATAAATAACTATAACTGATGAACATTGTCAATTAACCTTTCCCAAGAAATAATCCCTGTGTCGGAAATTAAAAAGAAGACCTTCTTGGGGGAAACAGTAATTAGGAGACATTTGTTCAGTTGCGGACACCGCTAATTGTTTAATCATGATCTAACAGGACTTCCTCGTAATAGCCGTAATAGTCACTCAAAATAATTATTAATGACACATTTTTCGCACATCTTTGTCTCTGCTTGCAAATGATTTATGTAATATGAGCACACTTTTGTATGATTTTGTAGTAAATGTAATGTGATGACTTAACTGAGTAGGGGAGGAAACCATCCCTGTTGTGAGTCCAACTGCTTACAATTTAGTTACTATTTATTTCGACGAGGAATTTCCAGCTGTCTAAGCAGATATACTTCTCAATCAATGCATTACATCAGATCTCTGTTCACTCCCCGATGCCTTTCCAAGGGAGTAACGCATAACTATTCAATTTCGCCTCAGCTTTCGTTCGTAATCCCAAAAGCGGTCGATGTGCAATAAGAAAGGTCGTCAGCGAGACGACGGCGCCGGCATGATGTAAAGGTTCCCAAATGCTAGAGGTCAAGGGGTCGAGACGGACAAAATTCTGTCTTGTTTAAGGTGGGTTAGAAAAACTCTACGAGTATTTACTTCTCCCACCTCACCTCTCTCTTTTCCTCTTCCACCATCCCCCCCCTCTCTCTCAGGCCCTCACGTGCATTAATATCACATTATTAACAAAAAACGTGAGATAGGCTGATATCGAGCTTATGCAAGTGTTGGTCAATACGGCGATATGGAATATCATCGTATCACTTCCATCTTGATTGTGAAGTAACTAGTGTATCTTTGAAGTTACTGGTTCCCTGAACAACACGTCAATTCCTCCTACGTGAAATGTCTATGGGTAACGCCATCAGCCAACCTTGGTACGGTAACACTAACTCTAATAAGTCTCATATAACGCGCGATACGGTTTTTGTTGACTTCAAGAGATGGAGCCGATCAAAATGATCTCAATGCATTTCACAACGTTTTATCTGATGACTGAATATGATTATTTGTTATTTTAAAAGGATTTTTTACATTTATTATTAACACATCAATGTAAAAGATAATGTATCAATCTACTCTTAAAACACAGCAAATTATAAAATGTGGAATTGTTGAATTCTGTGACTATTAAACAGGAATATACGTCAAAGGTCAATTGAAAAACAATTAATCAATGCACATCATAGCATATTTTATTATGAACTTGCATACAGTTTGATGATTTGCACGAAATTAGTTTATGTATTACGAATGATGTCGAAAATACTAAAAAAGAGTTTCTCTTAATTTTCACATATAACGAAATCTGGAAGTGATTTTACGTTCTTCGGGCAATTTACCGTACGACAAGAAATGCTTGAACGTAAGGAATGTAAGAAAACATCTTTAAGACTATCATATTTTTTTATCATAACCCCTGGCTAAACGCATTTTTAATAGTTTTTTTATGTTCTAGTATAAGAAAACCCAGGAAGACGTTTTAATTGATACTACCTATATTTCGCCTAAAATAATCCTGGTCAAACCACTCCTTGCGCGCGAACGCGCAAAGGGGAGGGGGAAAGGAAGAAGAAGGAGGCGAGTAGGAGTCGTCATACGGAGATATTCGCACGAAGGAGCGGTGGGGAGAGTTGAGGAAGGACGAAACGGCGCTCGCCTGTACCAATTCGTAATGATTTGTTACATTTTCTCTGTACGCTAGTTATACATACTTCTGTAAGCACACGTTTTCCCACAATGAACCTTAATCAAAACAACTACAAGACATGTCGGATTCATTTAAGTTACATCATTTTCTTGCACCAGCCACAAACCTGAAAGTACTTTCACTTTAAAATACGCCCGTCGGTATTAAAACGTTGGGCCCTTATCTTGCATATAAATATTACATATAACTAAAATTGGAGTGTCTGTCTGTGATTTCCAAATCACTGCCGTTATCTAATCTCTTACACTTCTCTAGATGATATAAAACAATTTCAATTGTTTTCGGATTTTTATCTGTTTTTATCCACAGTTATCTCTGGAATGACTTAACGAATTACATGATGTTTTCACTTAAAGATAGCCTGTTTTGTCGGTCACAACGTAGACTACTTTTTGAAGTTATTATTTTCTCGTAAATAAATAAAAATGTTTGTATGCTTTTCTTACAAATCTACAGATTTATTTCTACCTTAAAGATATATTGAACTAGTTGAAAATAAGAGAAAACTAATGTCTGAATGAGATTTCGTAAAACTTACTCCAATCCCTTTTCCAACCCCTTCGAATAATAAAGGAATTCTTTCCTTTTTTCGCAAATATCTCAAATTCACCAGAGTGAGTAAAACGTTTGTATAAAGCACATACAATTTTCTACTAAATACACTTCGATTTATTCCAAAAGCGAAATTTTATTCCGAGTAATCGAAGGTCAAAATTGCCCCTGATTGTTTTCCTAAAGTATTCAAAAATGCATCTGTTTATAGATGCCCGTATCAACGATGATCGTAACACATATGGCTATGTGAAGACGGGCAGGGTGGGCCAGTCGGGGCAGTGTTAGCAAGATCAGCGTACAGCAGACCTCTATGAGTTAGGGCAGGTGAAGAAAAGGTAGGAAGGGGATACGTCACACGTAGAACTAATTCTTTTTTCTGTCTAATACACGATTACAATTAATAAATACCGAGACAAAGCAAGATTCTTCGGCTAATAATTTATATATTGCGCTAGAAACGTCCCTTCGCACTGGGCCGAGTCAGGGCCTACTATTAAAAATTGCATTTTATGTTGGTAGCAAACAGATCGCTGGGAAACAAGTAAAGGGATCACCACTTCCAGCGTATGTTATTATTATGGTGAGTGTGGTATTAACGTTTTCTTTTGTTGCAAACGCTGGTACACACATAATTTTTGTTGCCAGCACCAAGGTGCCACTGCGAAAAGACTTTCCTGCCCTGCTATTCAGTAATTGTGTGTTAATGTAAGTAGCAGTAATAACGTAGATAATGCAAAATAGATATGTGAAATTATGTAAGCCGTTGAAGGATCTTTTTTTAAATACATAGTCATTATTTAACAAATAACGTGAGTTCATTTTGTTATCGTTGAATGGATATTAATTTCATAAGCGTCTTCCGTCTGCCGTACCCTAACTCCCCGCTCAGGCGACCCCCTTCGCCAGCACGGAAGGCACACGCGCGGGACCACTTACTGCATCGCGTTCGCTCGCGAGCTGTAAGTTGAGCTGGAGTAGCTCGGCGTGCGCAAACCTGGAGCAGGCTTGGCCTACGCCACACGGAGAGACTCCTACGCTTACTAATATTATGAAATCGTATATTTGCTTTTCTATGAGAATCGTACGAAAGATCTAAGCCGTTCTTGAGACATGTTGTACGTAGCTTTTCGCATATGTGCCTTCCAGCCCTGAAGAAGACCAGGTCCTAGTCGAAACGTCAACAAGACAACTTTGGATGCTGCATTAACCGAGTAGCCTAGATTATTCACTTGTTATGGTTGCATCATTTACAACTGTTCCTAGAATTAAAATGACAGTATATCACATTTACCTTAAAAGAGAACAATTTAAAAAAGTGTGCCCTCTGAATACAGAAGGATATTGTCTACTTGGCTGTCCGAGAGGTAGATTAAGAATACACTGACTCCGGGTGCGAAAGTTTCATTTAACCAACTTCTAGGGGAAGAAAAGATTTAAACTCGTTCGTGAGTTATCCAACTTGCGAAATACTGAACGGAAGTAAAAGCTGAGCCTGTTCGCTTTCCTTCAACGGTGCAGGGGTAAGGAAGTTCTCCCGTCCTTTCACGACATGAGTCACCTGACTAGGAATGAAGTCGATACTGACTCAGGCGGCGGACGCGTACGCTTTCAAAAGTGGCCACATTTTAATTGGTACTCGGTTGGTTCTTCTCCTCGGGACTCCGTAGCAAGTAAGTCGAGCAAAGCAACGGAATCGGGCGTCGTGTCGGGGCGAGACCCGTGCGCTGGGCGGGGCCGTGCGCGGCGCCGGCAAGGTCGCGTGCGCCGGCGTGCGCTGGCGTGAGCGCGGCGGCCACCAAGACGCGCACGCGCACGCGACCGCCGCCGCTCGATACCTCCCGCGCCGCCGCCGCCGCCGCCCCGCCCCCCTTCGCGCACGGATTCCGCTGGCGGCGATTCATTCACCTGCAACGACAGGGACCGGCTCATCAACGGATGGCACCGCACAGCTTCTGGCCGGGCGGCCGCGACGGTGGCAGCGTTTACCACACTAGATCGCTTACCACGCTACATCGAAATCAGAAGAACACAACCAGTCGGATGCTCGGATAAAAAAGTTTTCAGTAGTTTCTCTCATCTGCTGCAGCCAAATAATAATAATAATAATAATAATAATAATAATAATAATAATAATAATAATCACAATATTTATTGAGTCACATATACAATTACAATCGTGTATGACGAGTCAAATTTGATATATTTAGAGGTAGTACAATCGCAAACAACTTCTTTGGAACAGCGAGTGAAGTTACATTTATTTTTATTGTCCACAAGCGAAACAAGGAGCCATTTCAGCATATACTCAAAGGACCAGGGAAACTGGATAAAACCCTGATTATGATGGGGTCATTGGTCTAGAGGTTGTACTACAATACTTGTTACAGCCATATTAAGATATTTCATTGTAGATAATTATTTTTAGTAGCAAATAGTTGAACATTTAACTTACTTTCATTTAATTTGTACAGTTTCATTTCTCAAAATATCATTTTTATAGTATAGTTATTTTACTGCTTCTACTTATAATAATAATAATAATAATAATAATAATAATAATAATAATAAGAAGAAGAAGAAGAAGAAGAAGA